GGTTAAACTTAAGTCTTGAGGATGAAACTTAGTGAAAACGTGCCTTTATGAGTGTATTTTTATGTGTAAAAATTTTAAGTCAAACGGTCGAGTGCATTTTAAAAACTGTCGGGTTCATTTGTTTCACTGCCGGTCTGCCGGGCCGTGCATTGCTGCCAGCGCCCCAGCACAGCGCCCGTGCGCGCCTGGCTGCGCCCAGCCATGCCCCACCGGGTCAGCAAGCAGCCGGGGGCCTGTTCCGAGCCTTCTTTACATTTTTCCCGGACCCTTGTGTGTGTTTTTGCCCCGTTTGACTTTGTTTTGCGTGCCAAGTCCATGTGTGGTGTTTAAATGCATTTTTGGTCAAGTTAAGTGTTAAGTCCAAGTGTTCCAGTGTCCATGGAACTTTACGAACTACTTGGTTGAATCAAGTTCGACCAATGTATGCTTGTGATTGTTCTCTAAGGTCAAATAGGTGTTGATCTTAGTATATTAATTGTTGTAGGTGTTTGACGAGCTGTGCTCGCTGCCTACTCCTGATTGTGTGCCACTTTCCTTTGCGGTACCAGGTGGGTTCTAATCTAAAATTGTATATGCCATGAATGATGAATATTTATTCTTATGGGTATGATCTATGTATGAATATGAAATATGTAGCCTATCGATGTGAGCTGTTACGGCCGTCGGTACGGTTGTCCCCGTCGATGTAATACGGTTGCCCTTGTGAGGCAAGTCTCCTTAAGTCCTGATATGGCCGTGCCCTTGCGAGGTACGTAAGCCCATATGGAAGGCCGTGTCCGTAGCGTGGCATGTACTCCCGCCTTTGGGTAATGAATCCCTGTTCTGCGGCTAGCGATAAATGTGCACAAGAGTAATATGGTTGTTGTGATTTTGATAGGAGATGAGACATGATGTGATTATCTTATATTCATGCTGCGACCATACCATTTTGACATGTGTTATTTATGTGCATAGTAGTGAGCACTATTTTATCTTGTGCTCACTCCCACCTGCTCTTCACGGATGCAGGTTAAGCAGGTGCCGAATGACGGGGGGAAAGCGAGTGGGTTGGTCATGATTTATATGTTTATGATTCTGCTTCCATTATGAATAAAGTGTGGCCCTTTGAGACGTGTTAAACTATTTTCACACTTGTCCGTGTCGGGATTTTTAGACCCTTTGTTTGATATTCGTATGAGAGTTATTTATTGAATATCATGTGTTTTCGATTATGCATGCTATGTGGTTTAGCTAATAATCATGTGGAATTGAATTTTAAAAGGTTAATGAAAACCATGTGAACAACCAGATACGACTTGGTTGATGTTAAATGTTGTATAACGCCCATGTTTTTGAAAATGAATTCGAAAAATTTTATACTGGTTTTTGGGAAGTCCGGAATTTCTTTAAAATCAAAGTGGGGTGTTACATAAATCTCTTGATTTTTGAGTGTTTGAGTTATTTTAGGACTTGGATCATTAAATCCACTTCATATATGTTTCATTAAACCAATGCGAGGGGTTGATTAGTATGGTAGAATGAATAGAGTGATAATAGATGTAGGTTAGGGTTTAAGTTCATTCAGTAAACGTCCCAGGTAAAAGCTAGAACGTAGACAAAACATCTAATAGCTAATCTTACAAAGGATGTAAACGTTTTATAGTAAAGCTACATGACCCCAGAAAGTTCTAAAAGGAAAACGCGACTGTTAAGAGAAACGTCCTGTTTGTAAGCTTGTATGTCTCTGAAACGTCTAATCCTAAAGCTTATAAGCACTTTAAACGTCTAAACCACAAGCTTGTTTTTCTACAACTAAATTTTATAGTTTTCTTCATTTATCACCTTTAGGATTTATGATTATTATTAATATTTTGTTAGGTTACATCTAAGTTCATATTCTCCCGTACTGTAAGCCCCGACCCAAAATTATATAATTAGCTCGACTTTATTTATCAGAATTAGTAATATTATAATTATGCCGAGAATAATCAGTATTAATCGCATAATTTATTTAATTTCAAGTCTAAGCCATAAGAAGAACGTTCGAATTGTTATTCGGAAACGAGATAAAAATCCTAAGTCTAAGACTCGATTAATTATTCTTATCGAGTATTAGGAATTTATGTAATTCTGTAGCGAGCCCACTTTTCGAGCTATGTAAGTGGATTATTTTTATTTCGGTCCAATATTTAGCCCATGATCGAATTATATTATAAAGTCGGACCAAGTAGTATTTAATGTACAAGCTCAAACTCAATTTTAAGCCCAAGTCGATTTAAAATTGAGCCCAACATAAAGCCCAAGACTCATAGAAACCCTAATCTTGTATTGGGATATAAATATCCCCCAACACCATCTTTTTCCCAACACACAAACACTCCAACCCTAGCCCAAAGCACTATTCATTATCTCCCACCTTCATTCAAGATCTAAAGCTAAAAATCAACACATTACACTTCCATTTCCAAGATCGTGTGTAAAAATATATATCATTTCTTAGCTCAAATATAGATCCAAGCTCCATCCTCAAGATATATCTTCAAAAATCAAAGAGCAAGCTCCCTTCACCACCCTCCATGTAAGATCCGGCAACCACCTCCCATTTTCTGGCCAAAACCGCAGCTTTCCGGCGAGTCGCCGGTGACTCCGAGCCCGAACACAACACTCGCGTCCGTAACCAGTTAGAACCCGAATTCCTCTTGTTTGGTTGTGTTTAATCAGTTGAGGTTAGTAAAGAAGAATCATTTTGAAAGCTTGAGAATTTCTTTTTAGAACAGAGAAGCATGTTGAGTTTGTGCTTATTGCTAATCAATTGAAATCAATTGTGTTGGCCTTGGTTTGTCTGAGTTTGACCGAGTATGTGTTGGTTGGAATTCCAATCAAAGAAGAGAAGTATCTTTATTATGATTTGATACCTCAGATTCTTAAGATGTTGAGCATTGTATTTTTTTTTATTATGTTGAATCCATGCTGCACTGATGTGTTTAGTACACCTGTCGGCAAGTAGCTTGTCCACAGGGTTTTTTTTCCTGAATTGCAGCCAAAATTGCTGCCGGTCTTGCCTGAGCATCAGTCATATCGCGAACAATCTCTTTGGATGAATCGCTGAGTCTGCTCATTTGTCGATGACCCTCGGGATGCACAGCCAACACATGATTATGAAATCCCTTCTCGTCTTCTAAAGGAAGTCAGATACACCATTTTTTAGATTTTGCTTAACATTTATCTGAAAAGGACAACCAATAAATTTAGTCTTCGAACGTCTCAAAACAACATTCACAAAATTTCCTAGTTTTCCTGCCTTGCCCTTATAACGTTCCCCTCGATCACACCTCAACGTCTGAACCATTCTATCATTATTTTGTCTCGAGATGACCAATTGGAAACCCCATATCAATGCAATGTCTTTTGCCATTCAGTAGCTTTGTCTCAATTATCAAATAGCTTATCTGTAGAGAAACAAGATCGGTAATCTTCACCGTCTCCTCCAAAATCTTCGAGTGACACCTGCAATATGTTACAATATATGTTAATAATTTTACAAATATCAATAAATTCATATATATAACTTAATAATTTATTCATAAATTAATATAAAATAATATCAATAAATTTTATTTTATAAGATAATTCATTCATATATATAACGTAATAATTTATACTAATATAAATTTTTCCTATAACAATTAATTTATAATAGATACTAAATACTAATACTTTATATACTAATATAGTAGTTAGTATTTAGTATAATTGTACTAATAATTATATTAATTACAATATTAGTATAAATAATTTCTATTAATTATATTAATCACTAATATAATTTTGAATATATATTATTATAAATTATACTATTATATAAAAAATTACATTAGTATATAAAAAAATATATTATTATTTACTATTATAATTTACATTTTTTTTCATTAATTACAAAATAAATAAAATATTAATATAATTTTATTACTAAATTTTTTAATTAACTTTTTAAAAAACCCCAAAATAAATAAATAAATAAATAAAAAAGTCGGCCGCACACGGCCAGGATTGAAACGGCCGTCCGCACGATACGACGAAGCGACCGCCTTTAGCGGCCGCCTGGTGGACGGCCGTGATGAATGATCGTGTGTTTTGCTCAACTCGTTTGCCTTGAACAAAGCTTCGCCACGGCTTGCTCTCAACGATAGGTGTGATTAACTCGGGTCTTAGCCTCGCCTCTCACGATTTTGAGTTCACTCGGTAGTTAGCCTCGCTTCCCTCGATTGTATGAATTATGATAACACTCTCACGAATATTAAACACACGGATGAACAAACATTCTTTTCTATTCAACTCATCAATTATGGACATCAAAAACAATGAGGGAAAACATGTGTTTATATTATTTTATACACGCGGTCTATATGTCAAAAAAATACACGCGGTCTACATTTAAGTCTATTTTAAATCAAATAGAGACCTAATTTTTCATATTGAAATGAATTTTGTTAATTTTATATTATATTATTTATGTCGTCCAATTGCCATTATCTGATACCTACATCGACTTGTGAAATTGCTGTTAGGCTTCGCTTGGGAATTAGGACAGAGCATACAGTAATGAAGTTGGCACCTAGAGAAACCGATAAACTGATGCTCCACAGCGCTGGAGCTTTGGCACAGAAGCGTTTGGCGCGTGGGTTGAGGCTTAATCACGCTGAAGCTGTTGCTCTTATAGCAGTACAGGTTACGGATTTTTCTTTGACTCGTGAACTATTTTCGATTTTCCGATTATTCGCTTTAGGAGTTTCTGATATCATTATGCAATAGATTTGGATAACACTGCTGCTTGGTTCATTTTTTTTTTTTTTTTCCTTGTTGTGGTTAGTTTTTATTATGAGCACTGTTGCATTCTTAGAGATTCAGGTTGTTTCATTTATACTTCATGTGTGTATGTATCTGCGAGTGTATTGTTCCGGTTTCCAGTTGTCTCTTTCTATATTTCTATATATCCAATTCATGATCATGGGCTGTTGTAGATATTGGAATTGGTCCGCGATGGGAATAAAAGTGTAGCTGAACTTATGGATCTTGGGCGACAAATTTTGGGAAGGTAATGTGTAAAGTAAGCATTCAAATTCGACATTTTAAAATTCATTTTGATGTTTCTGAGGAACTGCAGATATGAGAATAGCGCAATGATTGTGATAACTTGGGTTTCATGTACACGTGGACCTGCGAAATGTGATCTATGATTAATGATGTTAGAATTGGCACCTTCTGAGCTTTTGTATGTGGAGAGATTAATTGAAGAAAAGAAAATGCGAGTGACGTTCTTGGTAAAGCTAAGATCTGCACGACCTTAAAGTTAACCTGATGTTGCAGAAGACAGATATATTACTTTCCACTTGCTCGAATATTTTGGGTTCTTGTACCACTGTTTAATGGAAGTGGCGACACATTTACAGTCAATTTTGTTTTTCACATCGCCAAAAGTTCAATTACAGTGAGGGAATAAGATTTTCTGAGAAATAGCGTAATTTTAGTTTAATCAACAAGAAACACCTAGAATTACGAAATTTCGAGTGTTAGATCCTATAGCATGCAGCATCTCTTGAGTGCTAGAAGACAAGACTTATTTTATGGAACCAGTACTTATTGGTAGTTCTTTTGTATGGGTTTCACTAGTGATTGATTGGTTTATGTGATTCTTTTCTTAGTAATCACTAGGTGATTACTGATTCCAATGTATTGCATAAATGGATATCTTGTGGTTACAGGAGACAAGTTCTTCCATCTGTTCCTTATCTCATGGATTCAGTTCAGGTACTGAATGAAATAATCTATCAAGTTAATGATAAGAAATAAGGATGTTTTGGTAATATTGTCTTTTAATCAACAAATAGGTTGAGGGGACCTTTCCAGACGGGACAAAGTTGATAACGATCCATGATCCTATATCAAGTGAAAATGGAAATTTGGAGCTAGCTTTACATGGGTCTTTTCTTCCAGGTATTATAGTATCTTTTTAGATAACCTGTTCTATTTTAGTTCAGCTACAACTTCTTTTCTTAATTCTGGCCTCAACAAAATAGGGTTTAGTACAGGAAGCATCAAAAGTAGGAGTCATATGGGTCAACTTGGGCTTCTTAAGGATTATTGGTTTACGAAGTTGAAACAGTTACATTCTTTATCAACCTTAAGCTATCAATAAGACATTTGTACTATGCAAAGGTAGTCCCAATTATAACAAAACATTTACGTGAAGAAACTAGCTGATTTTGTCCCAATTAAAACTAAACTTTTACGTGAAGAAACTAGCTAATTACCAAAAGCACAAGACTCGAACATCAAAATAAAAGTTGATGCATAAAATCAGATTTTAAAATAATTTTCTTGGGAGAAATTTCAAAATTGGTTTTAATAGGATTGATCCTTTTCAAAGTAAATTGCCATAAACTCTTCCAAAGTTGCCAATGAGAATAATTCCCCATTTTGACCAAAGCTATAACTAAAGGTGGATCTTATTTTGCAAGAAATCAACTCCTAATACTTGCATACCCTCACTACTTTGCAACTTGGTCATTCATGTTGACCATAATGCAATTTTGTTTTACAGTATGTAATATTATCATGCCATGTTCTGCATCTCACATGGTTCATTGTACAAAAATGATGCTAATTGCTGCAGTTTGGTAAGCATAGGCTAGAGATGTTAAATGGGCTAAATAGGGTTAGGTTCTCTATTCCTGGACCGTTAAATTGGTGTCGCCCAACCCGAACCGTGTAGCTCGAGGCCGTTAGGGCTAGCCCCAGGCTAATTGGTTAGCCAGCTGGTGCTGGCCCTTTTATATTAATATAAATAAGATTTTGATATCCATATTTATTTCTTATTATAGGAAAAAATAGTATTATGTATTTTTGGTAGCTATGTAATACTCAACAACTTTTTTATTTTAAAATTTGTTGTCATACTAAATTTTGTTTCTAGATTAAAAAAATAATAGAATTACTTCCCTTTTTGGTATATAATAAGAAACATATAATCTACGTCCATTTTAAATTATATAATTTTTTTTTTGTTTGTTTTATTAATGTAATTTAAATAATTTATGTAAACATATTTGAAATATGTTTAAATTGAAATTTTTGTATTTTAAATTTGGAATTCTAAAAATTCTGATAACTTAAGTCTTTATTTAGCCCTGGCCGTTTGGCTGAATTAGACATGGAAGTCTAATGAACATCCAGTTTTTTGTTTTTACATTTTTGTTCCATCCCCTATGAGGGATTTGGGAAAGAACTCTTGTGAATGAATTGTTCTTAAGGAGGGTGTTTCTTTTCCTGCAGTTCCATCTCTAGATAAGTTTCCAGACCTTGAAGGTTGTAAAATTCCTGGTGAACTAATATTTGGACCAGGACGTATTACAATCAACTTAGGAAGGAAAGGTGTAGTTCTCAAAGTGGCCAACACTGGTGACAGACCTATTCAGGTAGTTGAATTATCAAAACATCATATTTCTATTTCTTGCAGCTGAATGTGTAATATATTCAGTTACCAACCTGTCTCCCCCTGCGGGTGTGGTGAAGGATATATTCCAGGCATATTGTTAAGATCTTCATATTTATTTTTGGTGATAATTATGGACCACGAACAGTTTTGGTGATAATGATGGACCCCGAACGTAATGCAGTTAGTTATTCAGGACATGCTCAGTGTCCGATTTGGTTATGAACTTTGGTTCCAGACCTGCTCTTGCGCCATGCACCAACATTATCTTTTCATATGAATCACTATAGTTAAGAACAAAAGTATCTATTTAATCGTTGTGACTTCCGAGATATGTATATTCAGTAATACATAATAAAATTAGCTATGTAATATTAAAATATTTGAAACTGACGGGTGACTGTTTGCATATGCTAAAATCTTTCTTATATTTTTACCTCTTCAGGTTGGGAGTCATTATCACTTCATTGAAGTCAATCCGTACATGGTTTTTGATAGGAGAAAAGCATATGGCATGCGCCTAAATATCCCTGCAGGAACTGCTATTCGCTTTGAGGTTTCAATTTTGCTATATGTTTACTTATAATTGATTGCATATATATGATAATTGTTTTCATGTCTTAGTATAATGCTTGAGAAGCCTATATTCGTAGAAGCCTTATTATTATGCTTGTGCCACTATTCTTTGACCTTTTGTGTGACAGTTGGATTGCTTTACTGAAGCATCAAACTTTGAACTTTACTTACTATGGATAAATCATGTTCTAATAATTATTGTTATCTGATAGGACTCTTATCCATAGAGAAGTCGAAATTATTTTGTGTTCGGTTGTTTTCAACCGGAACTTTGTTCCTGATCATCATGTGACATCAATATTAACTTATGTGAAAAAGGTACTATACTTGGCTAGTGATATGGTCTATTGACGTGATCCTTTTTTCTCTTATCCTAATCAGTTTTAACTTATCTAATTCGGTGCCTCCCAGAAATCTATTCCATCAGTCAAGGTAATTTAAGTGTTCAAATGTCAGTTACATTACATTGTGTTTAATGGGCTAAAATTTGGTCCAATGACAATTACATTATATTTAGTGGGCTGAAAATTAGGTTGCAAGTAGTTTAGCTTAATTAGTAGGCATATTAGAATGTATCTGAGTTGTATATATACAAGAAATCTCCAACGGGATGGTTGGTTGGATGGTTTTGAGATCCGAATGTTATCCTATTTGGGTGACTGTGATACCATGTACATACATAGGGTTTTTGAATGTGTGTCCTTTGATGTGAATAGATGAGCTATATAGGCCTTTATATGGCGTGTGATATACAGGCGTTGAAATACTTAACATCCCCCTTCAAACTCAAGGTGGAGGGTCCGAAGCATTGAGTTTGAACAAGTGGTTGTCTCTACTTTGTGCTTTGGTGAAGAAATCTACTAGCATAACAATCGTTTTCTTGATGACAATGAGACTGGATGAAGGACGTATCGACACCAATATATATTTTAAGTTCATGGATCATTAGCAATTTGTATGGCTCCAGTATTATCGAGCATCTCATGATATATAACAACCATCAAAGCCATATAATTTATGAAGTAGTCGTGACAAGTGCTTGACGTTCTATCTCTTTGCCAGATCGAGATACAACTGCCTGCTTTTTGGACTTCAATGTAAGAGGAGAGGAACCGAGAAAAATGCACTAACCAGTATCATAAAATAATGACTATCTGTTGGATTACTCGAAGTAGAGTCCTAGTAAGTATGAAGCGGAAGTAGACTATCACGAACATAAAATAAACATTGAGATGGTGTTCCCTTCGAGTACCGTAACACACGAAGCAAATGTCCAAAATGAACTGAAGTAGGAGTACTCACAAACTCACAAAACTCAATATATGATCAACATGAGCAATGTCTTACTTGGTAATAGTAAGATAAACCTAAGTGCCCTCAATATGCCTATATTGAGAAGGATCCTCAAGAGGTATACCGTCAGTAGGATAAAGTTGCAAGTGAAGATTCATATGTGAAGCCGTTGTCCGATAAATAGTAATACCAAAACAAACAAGAAGATTTTGCATGTATTTGGATTGGAGAAAGATAATAGCTCGAGTCAGAGTGCATCTCCTTAAAGCCTAAGAAGTAGCTAAGAGGACCCAAATCGGACATTTGAAATTGCTACTCCAGAATGCGCGAAACTTCCTGATAATTGGATGGTTCATCAACAATAACACTCGCACGTGGAATACTCAACATATCAAGAGGTTCAATAATAACACGATCACTTAAATTATATCTCTCACCAACGAGACTCTCCAGAAATAGCGTGTGACACATCAGAATCAATAGAATCATACGTGTGCAGAATTGCACCACTATACTGAACGTAGCGTTGTTGTAAAAGGACCACATTACCTTGGCTGTCCGAAAAGTGGAAAGGCTTATAATCATAATCATAGACTGCTTGACACGGTTGACGATAACAACCATCACTTTTCCATCATTCATTATTAGTCTACCATATGCTGATTACTGTTATCAGCCATTCGGGTGCATCCTTAGTCAAGTGGAAAGCCAGACCATAAACAGTTTCAACAAAAAAAGCTCACTCTCGATAATTCTGACCATCAAGAGTGATATTGGATAGCAATTGCATTAAATTGCAAAATGATTCAACATCGTATGATGACATGTATTCCTTCACGATATGTGGATGGTAAACGAACGACATATCAAACATATAGCTACGAGCTGTGGTGAAATATGAATGAAGGTGCTGCGACGGGTAGCATATGACCACACAACAGATGTGACGACAAAAAAAGTAATTGACGAATGCTAGGATGAATTAGAGTTCACGAACCGTAATCCCATCAAGAGATGCATATGAAACAGAGCAAAACGGATACCAAAAACCTCCCGAATGAAAAATATGAGAATGCCGACGCGCCATCACGCGCCTGTGCGTGAGGATGGCCGTAGGTTGTTCCGGCGGCGCGTGGGACCCACACGCTCAGACTCCGGCAACGAAAATGACCAGAAGGTCGATTCAAGGGAGGCGAGGCTATTGGTGTGGGAGGTGAGATCCGAATGTTATCCTATTTGTGTGGCTGAGATGCCATGTTACAAACCTGGGTTTCTGAATTTGCGTGACCGTTGATGTGAATAGCCATATATACAAATGAGCTATATTGGCCCTATAGGCTGGGATTTCATATACTCAACAGATTCACCATTGTCTGCAATCTTTTTACCTTACAAAACTGCAACGACAACATGGGGCTATCTGCAAAAAGTCTATAGACAATAGTTCTACTCGATGATTTCACATTGACCAGGAATAGCCATCTTCAAACACGATAATCTCTCAGTCTCAAATTTTTATTCTCAATTCATGATTTTTTGTGATACCGTGTGCAAATTCAACTTCTGAATGACTAAGTTCCATGCATATTATTTACGAAACCACTAAACAAGATCAATTTCTTATGAAATTAAGATCATAATTTGAAGGCGTTCAATCTAGTATCATGCACAAAGATCTTATACCATTATTGGATACTTGTCGTACTGACCTGCTACGTGAAGAGAAGCGCCTTCTATACAATTCTTTGTTGCAAATTATAAATCATCCAGGATTCTGTCATATATGATGTGCAAAGTAAACAAAAAAATCCAGACCTACAAGATGTTTAATGTTTCTACTGAAAGGAATTGAGGCCTTATGCTTCAAATTGTCGAAATGAATTTGCAAATTGCAAGAGTGATGGACATATTATTAAAGATTTTCCCGGTTAGACCACCCAAGTGAAATGCAACAACTTTTGCAATTACGATTTGGTCTTCTACTCCTAGCAATTCTATAGGACCTGTCCAACAAAATACTCTTAATTTGACACCTGAGATGGTCCCATGAATGATTATTTTTGCATCCTTTGCTTTGGCGATTGCATCTTCACCGTAAAATTTTTACTCAGAGTTTCCAACCATATGACCAACAATGACTAATCCCTCTCGAATATAAAAGAAATCTGGGAGTCAAGAAATAAATACTCCAATGGAAATCTAGTTGCATATCATAGCAACTAACGATATTTCTTCATCTATAAACAATGTTCTGTCTCGTAGTCTCAGCAGTAATCTCATATCAGTTGTTTAATTGATTGAGACTGACTGTCGAGTAAATTTTTCAAAAGTCTGGTGGATTGGTTGTTTTGCAGGGCCTAATGTTGGGCGTCTTTTTCCTATCCATTTTTCATAGTATCCAAGTTTTTTTTTTTTGTCTTCTAATTCTGCTGTAGTTATAAGTTTTTTGAACATCCCAACTCAACTGTACTTCTTGACATACTGAAATCAGGGTTTCCTTGGAATAAGAGCCCTTCATCTCTTAATGTTATTCATTTTGATTGCATCTTTGTAAGCTTGGAAAAAATAATATTCCACTATTTCCAACGCATTGGAAGAATGTAACATGACCTGTTGATATCATCGAGGAGTGGCATTAGTTTTATCTGATGCTGATTACAAATTCTTGTTGCTTATTATGTATAATTTCATTTTTTTGTACTTAAATGTCTCCCTTTGTCTGTTTCACTTAATTTATAGAGAGTATCACCATTGCTACATGAAATTTAGAGATCATCGAAATTTTGGTTACTGTCAATTGCTTTTCTTTAACCATGTCATCTTCTCATATTATTGATACCACTCTTTCATAAAGAATTGTTACTTACACATGATTTATCATTTTTTTCATTCCTTGTTGTCATGGTGAATACCTACTGTGTATTACATTAGATATTAAATAACAGACGAGTTAATTATCAACTACTTGTGCAATTTGTTGAGCAATTTTGAAATTTCTATTGTTTGCTAACATACTTCCACAACATTTTACTTATATTATCAGCTACTGTAGTTTTTGTCCAGTATAGTGAGAACTTTGAACTTCTATTGTGAGCATCCTTCCACAATATTTTAAAAACATTATCAATGATTGAATTAGTTTTAACTAATATTTAGAATTGAGATATGTTTAAAGTCACACTGATGATACCTAGTATCACCATAATTGCAAAAATTCTGAAGGTATTTCATCAAATTAATTATCGTATCTTTACAACTTTAATCAAGCTAAATTATTTCCTCCCCTCGACTTCATTCTCTGTAAAAAATTCAAACTGTTTAATGTGAACAGACAATTGTTGTTCTCCTCCATACTCTTGGTTAAATTTTTTTGAAACCAAATAATGTGAACAAACAATTTTGTTTTCATCCCCACAAAAAGAAATCAAATTTCATAATTTACTTCAACAGTATTATATGAATAAAGTGTAAAAGACTGTATAATTTTAAAATTGGTTATCGAAAATTTTTAAATACTTGTTTCAACTATTATCAAGTACTCATCTTACTTAGGAAAAAAATAATATACGAATGAATGTAATGTATACTTAATACTGGGTCTATAATCCTAGCTTTTTGAGTCAGGTAAACTTTTCATTTCCTTCTAATATTCATTTTCAATACCATTAATTTCAAACCACACATCAGGATACATCCAATTTCAATCACATAAGCATGGTATATAGTTAGTTACAAAATGTATAAATTTCATTTCCCTCTGAATATTAATTTTAAACCAGAACTTCAAAATGCATCAATTCTCACCACATAAGCATGGTATTTATATATGCACCAGTTCAGAGGTTGCCAATATATTATACTAATGGAAAAATACTCAACATAGTAATATAGTAAATAAAAATCATTTTGTTCACTTTTGAAACAGAAATCGTTAAATAAATACACTGCCTCATAATCCCAAAAATAAACATAAGGTAACATAAACATCACTGGAGGGTTGCAACTATGCTTCCTCAGTTCTTACAGTGGGGAAAGAGAGTACTTACATAAGGGTCTTACTAGAACACACAACTATGTCTAAAATTACGATTGATTAACCTTTTCAAGTTGCACATTTTAGGGGTAATTTGGTCTGTCCAAAATTTAGACAGAAATATTTGTCCTTTTAAGATAGTAGCAGATAGACAGAATATATATAGATTGCTAAAGTATGTTGCATGTTGTTTCAATTATAGTGCATCTTTCGCAAAATTGTAAAATGCTATAAAGGCATTTCAAATTGCGGTGCAGGGTAGAACTGAAAACTTTCTATAGATGCATTAAATTGATCTGATGCATTTACTTAGAGGAGAAAGTCACAATGGCAAATATAATCAGCTTCAGAACTTCTTGATTGTAATCAATGGTTGAATTATATGTTAAAATGTGTTAAATTAGGAAATAAAACACCTTAACTTTCTTCAATCTTGAAACTGAGTGCCCTAGAACTACTGCTTTCACAGCCCGGAGA